TTTTTCACCCGTATTTTGTGCAGCGCAGTTGACAAAAGTTTCTATTAGAAATCATTTTGCCTTATGAAAACTGTTCACATCGCTACAGAACCTTAAGGTATATAATAGATGGCTGAGTGAATGAGCATAACTTCACAGGCAATTAAATTCAGGGAAAGTGGTTAATCGTGAAGTCCCCTTAAAAGAATTGCATCACAGCCTAAAATGCAACATGAAGTGAAGTACCAAAAATAGGAACATTAATAGTGTGGGAAGAGTAAGGTCTTTCTGATAGTATTTAGCATGAAAAGCAACTGTAACACTAAATTGATCGTATTTTAAGAAGCTGCACTCGATTTTATTCTTAAACAAATGCTAAAGTACTTGTTCTTCAAATGTGGGAGTTATTTACCAAGACAGCATTTCTCCCATGTACCTGTTGTTAGCCTATACTGTCGGCTCACTGTTTTGCTAAAGTAGGCCTGAAATAATTTGTGATGGGTGAACTTTGGTGACGTTTTTGTGGATACAAAGTAATGGACTCACCAATGGGTGATAAATCCATTGCATTACAAAGTAGTCATTGACAGCGCTGTCAGATTGTGTAACCGTTTATTTCTGATAGGCTTTCTGTGCCTGCGCATGAGACCCGTGTTAGTTTATCCTTTGATCTAATGAGTTAAACCACGATAACTCATAGGGTTTGTGTTTAAAAGCCATTATGGGGTTTTCAGTGAGAAGTCTGTGCATTCACGCGTGCAGATAGTCAATGTTGTACTTGTATGCAAAGCAGAATAAAATCCGTGTAAGTTGATCCGTTTCGTATAGCAAGTCTTTTGAACTTTCAACTAGTGCTACAAACCATGAGTGAGTTTTAGTGGTTTATTTGCCCTATAAACAAAAACTAAAGCATCTCATCGAGATATCCTACCGAGTGATTCCCATCATGCAGCTATGAGTGAAAGGATGGGGTATGCAAAACACTTTTTTTACCACACCTTGCCACTGAATGCTTTCCTGCTAGACGATTAGGAAATTTTTGCATATTTCCAATGCATCAACAGTCACTTATCATTATGATGCACTGTACATCAAAGTAAACCAAAGTAGATTTCCTTTTGAGATAGGAAACCTGTGTAGTAATGTATACAAGGATGCCGTGTCAGATTTGGCTGGTGGATTTTGGGTTTGGAAACTCTTACATTTAGTAGACTTTTAGGAAAGGCACGCCAAATACTGCTTTGGTAACTAGATTTTCTGTTTCATTCATAAAAAAAGATAGTCGGGAGCGTTTGGAAATTTTTAACCTTTTCTTAACTAAAATTGTCAGAGAGGTTGAGGTAAACATCTAGCTATGGAAAACACAGAATCGACTATAAATGAAAACCTTAAAACGCAAAATTGTACTTTATATAGACATTGCGCACGTCTCTGTTACCTATTTAATGCATATTGCTGCAATCAAATTATACTGTATGGTTTTTTGATATCTTGTACTGTACGCCTAAAAGGCATATTAACTCAGTTCATTCCAGTTAGCAGTGGTTCAGCTGTATTTTTTGGAAGTTTAATCGAAACATGTGTAACATTTTGACTCAACTATCCTTCTTACAGAACCGTATCAATTCTTCTTGCCAGTTCAATCGGAATTGGTTCCTTTAAAACGAGCGCTTGGGGAAGCAGTTTATTCTGTAATTAAAAGCAGTTTTGTAACTGTAATTAGCAGTATTTTCAACTTTTATAAGTACGCTTCAATTTCAAATGAAACTTCACTGTTTGTCGGTATGGCTGATGTAATAATAAATACACGCACTGGCTCATTAACATTAAAAGGGTAGATTTTAATGCATATCATTGTGTCAAAAACGATTCCAAAAGACCCAGAAAGTGTCCATGCAAAAATATGAAGCTCCTTTTGTCATCGCATGTCCATTTTTTAGCGCTTTTCACTTTGAAAGATTTTATACAAATTTTGGGACTAATTTCTTACCATCGGGATGCAAGTCTCTGATAGAACAAGGACTGAAGAACAAGTGCCTTAGTCTTGCCTAGCTTGTAAACCAAGTGAAATATGAGTGATCAGCGAATACCTTGAAGCATTTTTGACAGGAGTGCGGAACAGGGATATTTTTGCTCACAAGCCGAAGGAAAAGAAATCATTTAAGACTAAACGAACATGGCATAAATGTAAAATGGACTGGCCGATTGCAAATATTGGAGGCCATTAATTCGAAGGTAATTTGCGTGCTTCTACTGCGCAAAGTTATTTTCATGATGTTATGTTGTTTAGAAATCCATAAGGTTGACCTGTCCACTGAATTGTTTTACCAGTAAAGTTATTTAAGGATTCAGGAGAAGAGCATATACGATTGGTGAAAGCAACTTACATTTCAAAGTATTCATTGGAGCCATTTCATTCTCCATCTTAAAGGGGGATTCACGTAATTTACAGCATCCATTTGAAAAACTGCACCCGAAACTAATCCACTAATTTGTGTTTTGGAGAATGAAATAATTCAAAATGCCCCAACCACCCACCTCACTACAGTAACATCACAATCGCTTAAATATCAGCCCGCATCACGAATCAAGTGACTGAAAAGATTATGTGGCATTCCGTATATCTCGTTTCATTAACTTCTCCAAACCAGTGGGTACTCCTAGAGTGTCCTTGATTGTTTACGCACATTGTAAAGCGTAGATATGTGCCGATCTATAGACTACACGTTCGATATTATGTTGTTTACTATTTTCCTCCTCTTTCAAACTTTCATATCACCCAATGCTGGTCAAACATGATGTGATGCGAGCTTGTCTGCTTTGCAAATTTGCAGATGCTTTTCATAATACTTACATAACCTTCGGAGAGAGCGCGACAACGGAAACTGTTAGTCTGAAGTAGCTCATATTTGAGTAATTCCTAAACGATTTGTTTACCATCTAATGCCTCTTAGATAACACTTTGCCCCCAGAAAACTGTTTTGTGCATAACATGGCTGACGTGAATTGTTTGTTAGGAATTTCTTGCTAGAAATCAACAAAGTACGGCCATGACCTATCTACTAGGTACCATATAGGTCGAATGATTGCAGAAACTGCATTGGAAACAATCCGGACTAGTCAGTCAATGACAAGAACTCGTACCGAAAATTTCACCTGTGAAGTCACAGTTTGGAGGTAGGGCTAAGACAGGAACGAAGGCAACTGGGTTTCCTTGTTTTTAATACAAAGCATCTTAGAAAAGTGGGAATTGTAGGTTTGTACCCCATTGGGAAAGGTTTAGAGATTACAGCAATGGCTATTTCTGAGCATGAAATATTTTGAGGCTTTGAATTATTGAGGTTCTGTTATAAAAGACTTACAAGTACTGAAGTCGTTTGATTACCTTGAACTTATCCTCTCAGTTTTAAAGTTATTGCTTTTAAGAATATAACCCTGATAAGCACCTGACAACTTAGGCAGACAAATGAAAGCTGAATAATGGCCACTTATAGAATAATAACGATAGTGGCCTTAATTGGAATATTTTTACCTGAATAATAAATGCGATATACTGGAAGCATTTAAGCTGTGCCAATGCTGGCGCCAATACTTGAACACAATTAGTCGTTTCAACCCCTTAATAACCGCATCCAAGTCTGTAGTAATGATATGCTACCCTTTCACAAGGCATCAGGCACATCTCTTATAAAGTGCATGGTGACTGCTGCGAATGTGAAAGCAAGAGTGAGTAAAAAGCTAATTTTAGTCGGTTTCATTCTGTTCTTAAATTATTCCCTTACCTGAGGGAAGCAAACGATTACTTGTTAGGAGGTCAAAAAGCGGATTTTCTCAGTTACATTATCTCGTTTTCACATGCTAAATGGGTCTGTCGCCTTACAGGCCATTCGAATTACACCATATTTACGAGCTTTTTTGACTGGCCTTGACAGAAGCTCTCCCATTTAACATTAATTTATATCCCTTAACATGGCTTAATATTGTGCATCTATCTAAAAAGCGACTGAATCAAAGGTTGCCCTTCATAGGACCCTGGTAGAAAGGGGAAAACTATTAAAGCTTCCTAAAGTCTATAGAGGGATTTCGAACAACTAACATCGACCAGTGGTTTGCACCTTACATCGGTTGATTAATGCTATAGCATTTTCATTTCCCTTAAAAGGACCGTCTAGAACAATTTTTAATCTAAATTTCCTATTGTTGTTAAAATACTCCAAACCTGGCTAGTTTACTTTATGGACTGGCTGAAGTTTGCATGTAATTCTACATTAATAAGGTGGATATGCTTTAATAAGGCAAATTTTAATGGTGTTATCTACCAGCATTAGCAATTTTAGGACTTTTTATTTAACCACCTTGATCATGAAGATGGTAAAAGGCCATATATTAGATGAATAAAGGAGCAGTTACATGCTCTTTTGGCTCCATGGAGTGAGAACATGGTCAATAATTTTGCATTACAAGTGCGATTAGATGTCAAACGCTGCTCGATAAACACATTCAGAATGATAAACAGGATCATATACTTTTTATAGCTGTATTTCTCATACGAAATTGTTTGCTATCAATAGTTATCGGCTTGTTGACTATCAAATAAGTTGTCGTAACGAATAAATACTAGACGAATGACTGGTAGGCTTTTTTAAGATTTCATTAATCGAATATAATTGTATGATAAAGCATTATTCAAATAAGTAAATAGAATTCGCTGTCCGGTCTGATTTAGATAGTCTATGTGCTAAGGAGCGAAATGAACGATAATAAACCATTGGAAAGGGGTGGAATGGACCACGTTCAATGATGGCACGATAAAAATCTAAGCACGGGTGATAAAGAAACCTTTGAGTTTGTCAGTTCATTATGAAAATGCTTTCCTTCGTGGGTAATATCAAAGTGTAAATAATCCATGCGATTGTCTATCCACACTTTAATAGTTTCATGATTGGTCCAATTGATTGGCAGTAGGAGGGTAACGCATGAGAAATCTGCTAGAAAACCTAATTAAATGATAAGCTGGTTCAATGATTGCTATAAACGGTTTGTAATGTGGCAGGTGGAAATGCAAGCTTTTGTAGAGCATCCTTGAATTTTTTGTCTGCTCCATCATCTACATAAGTACATGCCATAAAATCGTATGCCTGGGTATAAATTGCGTCAAATTCCTACGTATTCCTCAAGAATATGGTTGAGTTCCTTCTGAGTCGTCGTACTGTTTCCCATCCACTAAGTCAGGTCGGGATGGTGGCATGCTGGCACATGTGAACACGTCTACGTGCTCACCTACTCACCCAAGTAGCACAGATTGTACGCCTATGCACTGATCCTTGACAAGGCAGGCTAGTGTGCCATTTGCATACGCAAACAGAATAGAAATGCCCTTTCTTAACTAATACGCGTTCATTTGTGGCTTGGTAGCCTTGAGTACGGGTGAATACACGAAATAAGACACCTCTGAGCAAATATGACTTTCGGCTTCACATTTTGTACATGTAAGTTTTCATTGTCCAAATTCAATTTAATTCTTGTATTTGAAAATATCTAACTTGTTACAAGAACTTTGTTAGATATGGTATTTACAAAAATTAAATGCAGTTTGAGGTAGCCGAAATCGATTTTAAGGTACACCTGGTTAAGGTTATTTCTTCTTTAGATATTTCGCCCTTAAACGGGATGAAAAATTATGTGATATAAACAAAGGTTGACCTTGCTAAAGTACTTAAGTGATGTTTCTGCATGCTCAAAAGTAGTTAAGATAGAACAGGTTACTTTGTGCATGGGCTAGTGTCAAACTGAAAGTTGTTGTAATCTCAAGTATCCACTCTAAGAAGAGCATGGTATTCTTTGGAAATGTTCACTTCTCTATGCGATAAACAAAGGACCGTCTCTCAGATTTATAGTACAACAACTACGGAGTAAATTAGCTCTATTCTTCATTAATATGAGAAAGCAGAATGTTGCTATTCATATTTCATATAAGATCAGTTCATTTGCTCTAATGCAATGAAAATTGGAACATGAAGATCGATCATCCGTGGTTGATCATTTAGACACGTAAATCATAAATTACCCCATAAATGAGTACGTGAATCCACCTGCGTTTAATCCCATACCCAACAGTCGCTTTAATAGGACTTTCAAACAAGCATGTTACACCCCTTCAAGGTGAATATTGGACAAGATATTGAGTCAGGGTAAAAGAATTACGGCATTAAATAGCAGCAATATTTGCAAATAGTACTTTTTGTCATCTTAGGTGTGAGAGGCAAAAAGACTTTAAAAGTCTCTCTTCCTGTGGCATCGCATTGTGACAAGAAAGGTGTCGCAAATCACGCCCGAGAACGACAAAAAGCCTTCAACGCGACATCTGTATCATCGCCAACAATAAAGCAAGAAGATGTAAGTTAGCTACATTAATTTTAGGCTTAAAGTTTCTTGTACTACTAACAGCACCTCCTTCATATAAATGGATTCAGGAGAGAAGCGTTTGTAAAACGTGTTTTGCTTTTTACATAGGTAGATGATGCCCAACGTGACTTGACTTCTCGAATCCACAGTCTCGTCGACATCGAATTCAGTTCCACGGCAAAAAAGACAACCATCAAGAAGCAGACTACAAAGACTATTGACAGAGATCAAAAAGATCACACGATCAAGGAGCCCCTCAAAGAAGTGTAAGTTGAATTGCATACATTTATAAAACAAATTCAGTTGCACTAAAATATTAGCATTAGTGCCACCTATCAGGTACAGATAATGCAGAAT